CTTGCAGGGGAAACAGGGGGAAGAGCAGGAGGTGGCAGTCTGTGTCCCTCCTGGAATTATCTGCAAAATTGTATGCTTGTGCATTTATCTGGAAAGAAGCTGTGTAGTTCTCTTCACTACTCAGAAAAGCCTATAACTCTTAGACGAAGAGAAGCTAAGAAGCATCTCTAGCATTCTGTCTCACTGGCATACAAAGTTGCTCTGAATTTCAGTCGTGAAATTAAAAAAAGAGTTCTAAAGTCTGAGTCAGGAGATGTAGGTTCTAAGGGCACCCACCTTCGCTTCTTAAGTCATTTATCATCTTCCTAAATTCCCCCTCTGGAAGATAAGATTAGATCAGACAAGCTTTGAGCTCTCTGCTAATCTAATAATCAATGGTTCCATGATGCATTTCCCCTCCTTCCTTCTAAGAAACATAAGGGCATATCACTGGAAATTGCCCTTAAGACATTTCATCTGAAGCCAGAAAGAGACCTTCTCTAGAATCCTGATTGTGGAGAGCACTTACTTGTAATATCAGCCATTGGAATACATGGTCCTTCTTCTAGGGTGTCAGTTTTGAAGACAGTGAACCAGAAGGAACTGAAGCCTGGGCATTCTGTAGCTGATTTGCAAATCCCAGTACCAGTTAGTCACAGGGCATGGTAGAGCACATGGAAATTCACTGATGACCCCAAATCCTTTAGCTGACTGTGGTCATTACCTCCAACTCCCTTTCACTGTGTCTTTATGTATGTGAGTGTACATATGTCTGTTGTACTGGCACACACACTAATTAATTCATTTTATTTTTCTTGCTTCCTCATTACTGCTAATGAGCAAAAAAAAAAAAAAAAAAAAAAAAAAAAAAAAAGGATTAAAAAGATAAAGGGCCATGAAGGAAGGGCAAAAGAAAAGTCAAAAGCTGGCTTCCTGTTTAATTAGATCATCAGATTTTAGAGTGAGTTGCCAATTTTCATGTGTCTCATTTCAAGTCAATCTGAGCTCAACTAGGGGCTGAAAAGCAAAAGCCCTGAAGGTCAGAGTAGTCCAGGAGGGATCCCAAACATCTAAAGGAACCAGACCTAAAGCAATTGCAAAGACACATGCAAATGGAAACAGCCTGAGCTTTTCTCAGCATCATTTTAGAAAAAGAATGCAAAGATTCATCAGAGTGACTGCAATCACTAGTTAAGAGACAATCCATCAAAGAAGTTTCAATGTCAGGGAAAATTTCTTGAACATTCTTGGTAAGTTGGTTGGCTACAGCTTGACATTTATTTAGAATGTATTAGCTGTTGATGTAACAGACATAATAGTGTATCTGTCAGGAGAGAAGGGAAGTCGAGGAGAGGAAAGGGAGGAAGGGAAGGAAAAAGAGGGTTAGGAAAGCAGGATGGGGGGAGAAACAATGTTTTCTGTGTAGGGTAGCAGTCCCCAACTTTTTTGGCACCAGGGACTAGTTTCATGGAAGACAATTTTTTCACAGATCCACTCACCTGCCACTCACCTCCTGCTGTTCCCAAGTTTCATGGAAGACAATTTTTGCACAGACGGTGGGGAGTGGGAGGGTGGCAGCAGAGCTCTGTGGCCTGGTCCCTAATAGGCTATGGACTGGTACTGTTCTGCAGCCCAGGGGGTTGGGGACTGCAGGCATAAAGCAGTATATATGCCATTGGCTGGATTTTGTCCCCCCAAAATTAAGATCTTGAAGCCCTCATCCCCAGTACTTCAGAATATGACTGTACAGTATCTCAAGACAGGGCATTCAAAGCGGTGATTAAGTTTAAAGGAGGCCATTAGAGTGGGCTCTTATCCAATCTTATGGGTGTCTGTATGAGGAAGAGATTTGGCTACACAAAGAGACACTTAGGGATTTGTGTGCACAGAGAGGCGATCACATGAAGAGGCAGCAAGAGGGTGGCCATCTGCAAGCCAAGGAGAGAGGCCTCAGAGGAAACCAACCCTGCTGGCCCCCTTGATCTTGGGAAGAATAACAGCACCTTTCTTCATAAGTTTACTGTAAAGACTAAATAGATCAATCCATGTAAAGCACTTAGAAGAGTACCTGGCACACAGTAGGCACTCAAGAACTGGCAGCTGGTATTGCTGCTGCTGTTACCGACAAAGGGGCTCGGGAAACACCAGCAGACCTACTAGGATATGTGTCTTTGCTGTATATACCTATACATTACTGACTGGATGAAAACATCCCCACCAGCTTTCTAACTGACCTCGGGCATGTGACTGGGCCCTTAGGGGCCTTTATTTTCATGCTCACACAATGGAAACCATAACTTCTGGTTATGCTCAATGGCTCTGCAAGAAGAAGGCTATTTGGTTTTCACTGGGGGAAAGGTCCCACTAGGAAGAGAGCTGAATGAAGGTATCCTGTCTGGAGGAACCATATCTACCTCAAGTGACAGCAGAGACTATTTGGCCAGAGCTGTGGACTGGAAGCACTCAAACTCAGGATCACTGACTCTTATTAACCCTGGGACAAATCTTCTGATGTGCCTCCCTCTCCTGGGATCTGATAGAGCTGCTGAAAATTGAGAAAGTGGCTTTCTACCTGCCTGATGTCTCAGTCTTCTGAGGAAGCAGGAACAGGGGGAGCAGAGCGATGGGATAAGATAGCACTGGATCTACTTCTCTGCCCTCGCAGGTTACCTCCACAGGCAGGGGGTAACTTCTGCTCCGCCACTGTTCCACATCCTTCAGCCAGCAAGGAATAGTGCTGTGGTGTGGGAAATCAGCCATTTTTTTTTTTCTTTTTAAGTGTGAGGTTTTCAACTCAGTTTCTCTGAACCATTCTTTGGTGCCTCTAGTTCTGAAACTAAGACAGAAGTTCTCACGCTACAGTTCACCACCTGCAGTCAAGCAAGTCATATATGATGGGGGATGTGGAAGGGACAGCACCAGTGCCCACATTGGCAGCATGTGCCGGCTGAACCCAGCTCACAGGGGAAGGCTGAACAAAATATACCCTGCCTAGTAAGACACAGAAAGCACCGCCTTCCCTTCCCGACCTGGATGTTCCACTCATCAGGGGCTCAAATGGTCTGTCTATAAGGTGCTTTGTGCTCCTTGGAAGAAAAGGTCTAGTCCATATAAGCTACCTTGGGAGTCCTGTTAAAAATGTAGATTCTGGGCTGGGAGCAGTGGCTCACGCCTGTAATCCTAGACTCTGGGAGGCTGAGATGGGTGGATCGCTCAAAGTCAGGTGTTTGAAACCAGCCTGAGCAAGAGCAAGAGGCCATCTCTACTAAAAATAGAAAGAAATTAATTGGCCAACTAAAAATATATAGAAAAATATTAGCTGGGCATGGTGGTACATGTTTGTAGTCCCAGCTACTTGGGAGGCTGAGACAGAAGGATCGCTTGAGCCCAGGAGTTTGAGGTTGCTGTGAGCTAGGCTGACGCCACGGCACTCTAGCCTGGGCAACAGAGTGAGACTCTGTCTCAAAAAAACAAAAAATGTAGATTCTGATACAGTAGCTCTGGGGTGGGGCTTGAAACTCTACATGTCTAACAAGCAGCACCCATGGGATACTGGTCCTCGGACCATGCTTAGAGTGACTTTGAGTTATGAGTACCTAGGACACTGATTCTCCAGGAGTGGTCTGGAGAGCCCTACATCATTGTCGCTTGGAGGCTTGTTCATTCCCTGCCATTACCTGGCCCAGACATGCTCAAACAGACCTTCTGGGGATGGGGCCTGGTAAGCCCCTCGGGTGATTGCTATGGACATGAAGTTTCAGAACCATTGCACAAAATCAATGGTTCTCAACTCCAGCTCCATGTTAGAATCACCCAGGGAGCTTTTAAAACCATGATGCCCAGGCTTCCTCACCGATCACGAACTCAGACTGTCTAAGGGTGGGGCAGGGCTGGGCTTCAGTGTTGTGTTGTTTGTTTTCACTAGTTTGTTTTTAATTTAATTTTTAATTAACTAATTATATATGCTTATGGGGCACAATGTGATGTTTTGATATATGTTAACATTACGAAATGATTAAATCAAGCTAATTAGGTGAGCTTGAAACAGAGCTTAAAATTCACTGCTTTAGATGAATGCTCTCTCTTTTAATTTCTGCTGATTGTATAAGACACATCTAGAAAAGTATAACTATCATAAAGGTATACATGAATATTGGTGGGGAGAGAGTAAAGCATAGCTGTGGTTTTAGGATCAAGAGAGGCTAAGGCTCCAGTCATAACGGGAGCGTTAGAACTTTTGTGACTCCCTGAACGTCGGTTTCTTCCTCTGTAAAACAAGAGGCAATGATACTTGTCCTATGTATTGTTCATACACTGTTATGTGAAAAGACCCTATAAACTATAAAATTCTATCCAAAAAGAAGGATTGTCATTTCAAGGTTTAAACTATGATCTGAATGTTTAAGGGAAATTTTAGTCATGAAACTAGAAAGCAGCAGTAATGATTTTACAGGTGATTTTGTTTTCTGAATTTTCTAATGTGTTCTGCTACTCCCTCCCCCTCTAAGCTGGTTTATCACTGAGGCCCTGGCTAGAGTGGGATTCTCCCTGCTAGCCACTAGGGTTTGTGCGGTTCAGACTGGCCTGTGGGTTTGATTGAACAGAGAAGTCATCTAATTCTTTGCCCGAGGGTAGTCTTGGCAAAGTGAACAGGCGTTGAGGCTCCCCAGCATATTATTCTAAGCCATTGTGGCTGAGTCTTATATGAGAATCCCTTAGAATAAATGGAAGCTTCTTTCCTTCCACTAAACCTCTGCAGGAGTTTCTGTCAGCTTTTTTGCTCTGTCCTAGTTCTGATCTAAACACTTACTGTACCTCCAGAGTTCCACAAAATACTCCCACCCCCAGTAACCTCCACTGCATCTGAACAGGACTGCGTCAGACCTCAACATTAACCACAAAGATATTTTTAAAATTACATGGGCATATGAGTTAAGAATGAGGCCAACCACCAGATAATAAAGGTGAAAATAAATACTGTTTTGCATGTTGCTGGTACATTCCTAGAAAAGGCTACTTACCAGCCGAGTATTTACCACAGGAAACAGCAACGCCAGAAGAGCCCCATTCAACATGTGCATCTGCAGCCTAGAAGAGGGAGAAGACAGAGTTTAGGTCACGCTCAGACTCTGATGCAGAGGTGGAAAAACACATGTGCGATTACAAGTGGCTCTCTGTGGAAAACAGCACTAGAGTTTGCACACACACAAAATAAATTAAAAGTGACATATTTTGTATTAACTGAAATGTTCTGAAGAGCACCACCACTGGCTCGGAATCCCCCAAACACTTCCTGAACACACTTTGGTGGCAATACCTTATTACATAATGAGCTCTGTGCTCCCTAAACGTCCAGTTAGCTCTAATCAACAGCTTCAATTGCCGCAGCTCGGGTGGCATTAGAAAAGGAGAACTGCAGTAGCTAGGCGCTCTGTTATTACAGTAGAAACCTATTTATTATAACGTAGCTGCTTATTTACACAGCCACGTTCCATCCTTTTCCCCAAACATGGCTGGAAAAAGACTAGTACAACCCAGGGAGCCAACATCAGTGTTTTGCAAATTGTGTTTCCCCATTTTCTTAGAAATGCCTTCAGCAGTTGCTGCTGGAGAGAGGGTGCTCAAAAGTGGCAGCCTTGCAGGTTATCTCAGACCTGGTTTACATAGTGGGCTCTGTGACTTAAAAGCGAAACAAAAAAGAAGAAGAAAAAGAAGAAGAAGAAAACCACTGGTCTCCAGCAGTGGTAGTGCTACTGTTTCCCAATCCCAGACTTGTTAAAATGCATACATACTAGAAACAATGAACTCAGGAACAAATCCCATTTGTGAGGACTCTGGGAATAGAGTTAACTAGCTTCCTTCATTGTTCAGGGCAAATGGTTCTTTACTATTAAGCGAGACACAAAGAATGACAGACTGTTCCTCTTGAAGAAAAGCTGATTTGATGGGTCACAGACCCATCAAAGACACCACCAAGTCAATCAATGTACTTCTTAGAACTCAAGATACTAGGGCTCATTCTCTCTCCCTCTCTCTCACACACACGCGCGCGCGCACACACACGGCAGCCCTATGATACCAGGATACCTCCATACCTCCTATGCCCTAACTAAGAAAGCAGTCCATACATTGAAGACCCCCTAGAACTTTAGCTCTTCTGTTGAAACTCAAAGATGTGTGCATAATTCTAAGAGATATTACAAGGAGACCCCAGAGGCTGCTTTTCATTTCTCCCAGTCTGTTTCTTCCTGCTGTTCTGTCATCAAACCTCGATCATAATGATGATATGCACTTAATATATTCCAGGAATCCTGAATCAAAGACCAGAGGGAAGAAAAATATATTCCAGGCAAGTATCCAACTGTTTTATATAAACTCTCTTGCTTAATTTTTATAGCAATCTTCTGAGATAGGTACAATAATAACTTTTCCCATTTTGTTCATGAGGAAACCAGGTTGAAAGAAGTGGGGTAATCTGGTCAACACTGCATATAAGATAGTGGAGCCAGAATTCAACCCCAGGCTTACCGGACTCCAGACAATAAACTCTTCTATTCCTCTTGCTACCTTATATTAGAGCCTTCCTCCCTTCCTCCTGCCAAAGTTTGACCTCAGGTGGAGAATCAGGGATGCTTCTTTTTCCTTCCTTTTGGTTTCAGGGTTCTCTATACCTCCTCCTGCATTCCCTGCCCTAGACTTAATATGATTGCAGGGATGATTGAACTAAAGAAGGTTCTTTGGCCATGCCAGGACAACACAGTCCTACAAGTTAATAGGGCTTGGCTTGGTCATAAAAAGGAGGAGGCACAACCAATTCAATGTCACTCCTGCCTCCTGGGCTAGCCAGGCTACCATGCTTTTTCAGCAGAGTCATTCAAGGGGGTAACCCCTGTTCTCATAAACAGAGTACTGAAAACTCTGGTTCAGCCCTCAGTGCCTAGAGCAGGAGCCATTAATAGCCATTCTAGGCCTGGGGTCAAGTAGGGTCTGGTTTAACCCTGCCCGAGCCCTCATATGTAACAGCTAAAACATAAAGGCTCACCCTGGGAGAGGAAAAATCACATTAATATTCCAGGTAAAGCTGGATTCCATTGCCCGGCTTTGAGATGTACCTCAAAGGAACGTCTGCATTTGCATAAGGCCAATTAGACATTTGAGCACCAAAAGTCAAATCTTGGAGATGATGGAATTAATTCTAAGTGCCCATGGAAGGCCAAAGATAAAGAAGGTAAAACTAACACGAAGATTCAAAACAACTAATCATTTCCTAGATAAAGACAAGCCTTGTTCTGGGTTCTCAAAATTCAGTTATGCAAGCTACATATGTGCCAAAAGGGTGAATTATCTTTAATATATAAAGAACTCTTGCATATTAATAATTATAAAAATTTCTAACATGTATTCAGCATTCCTATGTATAAATTGCTGGGCTAAGAATTCAAATACATCAATCTCATTCAATTGTCTCACAGTTTTTAATATAATCATCATCATCTTTTTCATTTCATAGTTCCAAATGATTAAGTGACTGTCCCAAGATCTCACAGATAATAAGTGGCAGAGACTGAAGTCACACACAGGTCTCACCAAGTTTCAGGTCTGTGGTTTCGCCACTGTACCCCGCTTCAAATCCACAGTATGAATGTTAGACACGTTCCATGGGGGGAGGGGGAGGCTGGCTGCAGATCAGGTAGGAAATAGTTCTGGATGCCTACAGGGTAGGGAAGGTCATGCCTAGAGACAATGAAACCTCTTTTGTGTTTTGTGGCAAAACCACATTGATCATACAGTAACTACAATGCCCTCTACAGACACAAAGGACGGCCCTACAGGTAAATGACTGATCAAATCAGAAGCAAAGCCTTTTGCTTTTATTTTATACTTGCCTCCAGCCCACCACCAAGATTTCTATTGGGTATAAGAAATGGATATTTGGCACTAGAAAGTCCTATGAGAGTTTCTCCATCTATACAATGGGAACCATAATAGTACTCAACTCACAGGATCGTTATAAGGAAATAATATGTGTAAAATGCTTAGAAAAGTACCTGGTATATAATAAGACTCGTATAAGTGTCTGTTCAATAAATGTTGGAGAACTCACCTACAGCCCCAAGATGGATGAATGGAAAGAAGGAAGGAAGGGAGGGAGGGAAAAAAAAGAAACAAATAAAAAGAAAAGAGAAGAAAATCATATGGAAGAGCCAAACAGTTTAAAAAGTTCAAACTATGAGAAAGAGTGCAGAGAAAGCAAAATGACAGATAGAAGGCCAGAACAAAAAAGTAGAGCGTGGAGACATACTTCTGTCAAGTTAGTCATACTTATAAACCTCCTTCTTGCCAGATCAAAGTCTTGGCCATTGTACTGTATATACAGTTGACCCTTAAACAATGCAGGGGTTAGGGGCACCGAACCCCAGCACAGTCGGAAATCCATGTATAACTTTTACTTTCCCCAAACCTTAACCACTAATAGCCTACTGTTGACCAGAATTCCAAGAACAAAAACAGTCAATTAACACACATTTTGTATGTTATATGACTATATATTGTATCCTTACAATAAAGCTAGCTAGAGAAGAGAAAATGTTAAGAAAATCATAAGGAAGAGAAAATACATTTACACTACTGTATTTATCCATACTGTGAGTTTGTGCCATCTGTGTGAATTGTCTGAAATAACAGGCAACCACAGCTGCAGATCTCAATCTATGGGACATATTAAGCAATTCAACTTTTTCTGGTAATGTCATGACTTTGCTTCTTGACAGCACTTCCAGCATCACTAGTGGCACTTTGCATGAGTCTCATGGTGTTGCTCAAGGTTTTTGGTATTGCACTAATCATGAAGAAAAATATGTAAAAACCACTAGAGATCACTTTTAATTGCAATACACAATTTATTGAAGAGACAACTGCTCACATGGAGATAATTAGTGTCACCTAGCATTTTAAGCATACACTTGCAACACTTGAGCTCACTGTAATAGCAACAGGAGTGCACACTGGCTACAAAATTATTACAGCAATACAGTATGTACTACAGTTAATTTCATGCAGTTATAATTCAATACTTCATCTTTACATTTGTTTACATTTCTTTCAACTGCGAATGGCGTCTGTTTGTGTGGGTAAGTTTTGATAAAGTTTAACTTTTTATAACAGATTTGTGTATATTTTATGGTAGTAAATGATAAAATATACCAGTATTTTATGCATTTATGACATACCTAACTTGTTCTTATTTTTTTTCAATATTTTTAGGCCACGTGGTTCGTTTAGCTTTTTTCAAATTGTCAAAAATCTCCAAAACATTTTCCAATATATTTATTGGAAAAAATCCGCTTATAAGTGAACCTGTGTAGTTCAAACCCATGTTGTTCAAAGGTCAACTGTACATTTTATTTTCTGTATATTGTGATGTTTGGACATCTTAAAAAACCTCTCTGGCTGAGGAGAGCCTGCCCCTCTTGGGGCTAGCCAATCCTTAGAGATAGCCAGGGCTCAACCAGGAACATATCTTTGATATGCAAGCTAACCAATCCAGAGCCAGATCTCCTCTTTTTGTCCCTTCCATCCCAGGAAGCTATATTCCTCTTCCTTAATCACCCAGGGGGCCAGGAACCAGGCAACCCCTACAGAGCCTGCTGAAATCATTCAAACTAGCCAATCCTTAACTGTTCACTCTGCCCTTCCTTGCTCTTCCTGTGTAAAGACAGTGGCCCAAACCTTCCCCTTGGTCCTGCCTCATGACCACCCTGGTGTCTTTCTAAATTGGCCCTGACTAGCATACTGGGCCTCCTGACTCTAGAACCTGTGAGTATAATAAGTGTTGTTTCCCCTCCCCCCAGCCTTTCCTCCATCTCCTCTTGTGGCCACACCTGACTGACCACCACATAAAAGAATACAAAACAGCCATTACTACTATCACAAATTTTTCCTGTAAGCCTTTTTGTTTTTGTATAGGATACTATGCTGAGTTAGCTTAGTTGGTAAGAACCTGAGGCAATATAGTAAGAGTTATGGGTTTAATTCTCTTCCAGGTGAGTTAATTTCATTAAATATAGTTCCACAAACATTAATCAATACATTACTGTGTGGGAAAAAGAAGATCTGTATAAGTAAGACATAGTATGTGTGCTCAAGAAGCTAACAATCTTAATGGGAAGGCAAGAAATGAAATAACTAAATAAAATGGAGTATTATAATGGATAGGGTTTGGAATCAAACCTACATTTAAGTCTTATCTCTACCATTTACTGGCCAAGTGACTGGACAAAACACTTAAAATATGTGTGTCAGTTTCCTCAATTGTTAATGGAGCTAATAACAATACCTACTAAAAGTGTTGTTGGGAGAATTGAATAAGACCATGTAAAGTGATCAACATAGTGCCTAGGTAGCCATTATTATCTTTAATAAATCCATATAAATATCACATTCATAACAAATCTTCACAAAAGGACTTATATTTCAATTTAGTACTTGATTATAACCAAGAGCCAAAGATAATGGAAGAGATGACAAGTTCTGTGGGTAGCTAGAAAGGCAAATTCATAGAGACAGGAATTCTCAAAGAAAATTATAAAACATTTTGAACTGGACAAACATAAAAATACAATATATCAAAATGTATGAGATGCTTATAACATGAAATTCTTATAGCAAAAAGAACGGTTTCAAATCAGTAATCTAAGCTCCCACCTTAAGAATCCAGAAAAAGAGCAAAATGAACCCAAAGCAGGCAGAAGAAATGAAATAATAAAGAGCAGAAATCAATGAAATTGATAACAGGTAAAACAATACAGAAAAATCAATAAAACCAAAAGCTTTTCTTTAAAAACAAACAAATACAATTGATAAACCTCTAGACAGAATGACATGGTTACAAAGAAGACAAAAGTTACCAATATTAGTAATTAAATAAGAGACATAACTATGGACCCAAATAGTTAAAAAAATAATAAAGGAATACTCCAAGCAACTCTATGCACATAAATTTGACAGCTTAGATGAAATGAACAAATTCCTCAAAAACCACAAACTACCAAAACTCACACACGATGAAATAACACGAATAATACAATTAAATAAATTAAATTCATAGTTAAAATCATCTCAGTAAGAAATATCCAGACCCAACTGGTTTCAGTGACCAACTCTACCAAATATTTATATAATCTTGTTTAAAAAAATAGAAGAGAAGGAAACATTTCTCAAGCCTCTTTGAGTTGAAGAGGAGAAAGAATAGATACATCAATCAATGAAACAGAATAGTCTATCACTACATTATTATTCAGATATCAAAACAAGGAAGGGGAAGGAGGAGGGGGAAGGAGAAGGAGAAAAGAGAAACTGAGGGTGAGGAAAGGTAAGGAGGAAGGAAGGAAGAAAAGTAAGACCAATATCCTTCATAAACATAGACACAAAAATCTCAATAAAATGTTAGCAAATCTAAAGCAGCAATACATAACAAATAATACTCCATGACCAAGTTTTCCCTGGTAATACAAGGTTAGTTCAATATTTAAAATTCAATTAATATAATCCACCAAATTAGCAGAGTAAAGACTAAAAAGTACATGATCATATCTAATGATATGGAAAGAGCATTTGTCAAAATTCAACTTCTACTCATGATAAAAACTATCATCAAATTAGGAATAGTAGGGAACTTCCTCAACCTGATAAAGGGCACCTAAAAAATACTATACCTAACATGATATTTAATGGTAAAAGACTGAATGCCACCCACCAACATCAGGAACATGACAAGTATGCCCACTCTCACCACAATTATTATACTGACAACCTAGTCAGTACAATTAGGCAACAACAAAAAAAGAGATTGAAAGGGAAAACATAAAACTGTCCTATTTTCAAAGGACATTATCTGCACGAAAAATCCAAAGAATCTACAAAAAAGCTACTAGTGCTAATATCCAGGCTTAACAAGGCCTCAGGATACCAGGTGAACACATAAAAATCAATCACATTTCTACATAATAGCAGTGTACAATTGGAACCCAAATTTTTAAAATACCATTTATAATATCTCAAAAACTGAAATACTTAGGTATAAATCTAATAAAATATGTACAGAACTATGTGCTGAGAACTGCAAAATGCTGATAAAAGAAATCAAAGAAGACTTAAATAAATGGAAACATACCATGTTCCAGGATTGAAAGGCTCAACATAGGAAAGATGTCAATTCTCACCAAAATGATCTATAGATTCAAAGCAATTCTAATCAAAATCTCAGCAGGATCTTTTACAGATAGAAATAAACTGACTCTAAAATGTATATGAAGGGCAAAGAAACAGGAATAGCTAAAATAATTTTGAAAAGGAAGCAGATAGATAAAGGAATCACACTACGTGATTTTAAGGCTTTACTTCAAAGTTACAGCAATAAAAACAATGCAGTACTGTCCAAGAATAGACACATCAATCAATGAAATACAACAGTCCAGAATTAAACCCACACTGATATGGTCATTTGATTTTTGACAATTGTGAAAATGGTATTGAAGCAATTGGACATTCCTATATAAAACAACACACTTAACCTAAACCTCATTCCTTATATTAAAGCTCAGTCATAAATCTAAATAGAAAATGTAAAACTATAAAACTTTTAAAAGAAAATATAGGCTAAAATTTGTGACCTTCAGTTAGGCAAACAGTTGTAAGACATGATACCAAAAACACAATATTTGAATTAAAAAAGTGATAAACTAAACTTAATCAAAAGTAAAAATTTTTGATCTGTGAAAGATAATTTTAAGACAATGAAAAGACAAGCTATATAATGGGAGAACATGTTTGCAAATCACATACCCAACAAGAACTTTGATCAAAGATATATAAAAAAAATCCTTAAATTCAACAAAAAAACAAACAACCCAGTTTAAAAATGGGCTAAATATACCCTGAAAGAGAAACATGTGAAAAAAAAAATGGGCTAAATATTTGAACAGACACTTCACCAAAAGAAGATATTTCATATTATTGAATTTGTTGCTATTTTCATAGCAAATAACCATGAAAAGATGTTCCATGCCATGAGGGAAACGTAAACTAAATCCACAATCGGATGTCACTCCTCACCTATTAGAGTTGCAAAAATAAAAATGCAATAGCAGGCCAGGCGCCAAGGCTCACGGCTGTAATTCTAGCACTCTGGGAGGCTGAGGCAGGAGGATCACTTGAGGTTAGGAGTTCAAGACCACCAGCCTGAGGAAGAGCAAGACCCTGTTCTCTACTAAAAATAGAAAAATTAGCTAGGCAACTAAAGATAGAAAAAAATTAGCTGGGCGTGGTGGCATGCATCTGTAGTTCCAGCTATTCAGGAGGATCGCTTGAGCCCAGGAGTTTGAGGTTGCTGTGAGCTAGGCTGACACCACCGCACTCTAGCCTGGGCAACAGAGCAAGACTCTGTCTTAATAATAATAATAATAATAATAATAATAATAATAATGATAATGATAATAATGCAATAGCAATTGCTGGAGAGGATGTGGAGAAACTGGAACTCTCAGGCATTGTTGGTGGAAATGTAAAAGTACCACTTTGGAAAATAGTTGGAAGGTGTCTTATAAAGTTTTTTTTTTAAAGTTTAAATATTTAAAAGTACTCATGTTATAACCCAATAATTTTGCTCCTGGATAATTAACCTACTAAGACGGAAACTCATATTATGTGGAAACCTGTACATAAACATTCACAGCAACTGTGTTCATAATAGCCAAAATCTGGAATCAGTCCAGATGCCCTTCAATGGGTGAACAGATAAACTGTGGTACACACATACTATGGAAACCCACTCAGCAATAAAAAGAAATGAATGATTGATACATGCAACAACTTGGATGAATCTCAAAGGCATTATGCTTAGTTAACAAAACCACTCTCAAAAGCTTCTATAAGCTTCCATTCATATAACATTCTCCAAATGACAAAACTGTCGTGAAGGAGAACTGTTCAGTAGTCACCAGGGTTTAGAAATGTGTCACTCTAAAGGGACAGTATGAGAACTTTTTAAAGTGATGGAACTATTCTATATCCCGATTGTGGTGGCAGTTACAGTAATCTATACTTGTGTTAAAACTCATACAACTTTACACCCAAAAAACTCAATTTTATTATATGACAAATAAAATTCAAACATACACATATATATTTGAATATATATATGAAGGAAAGCACTGAACTCTCCCAGCCTTACCTTTCATACCTACAAAGTAAGTGATCCAAGATTCTAGGCCTTTCAAACAATGCTTTCTCACTCTAAAAGTTTTTACATTAAAATTTTAAAATATAGAGAAAAGTTTAAAAAATAAAATAATGAGCACCTGTGTCTCCCATTTAGTGTTAATAATTTGAAAATTATGGATTCCACTGATTGATTCCACTGATTCCACTGAAATTATTGATTCCACTATTGATTCCCTCTGTATATCCTTCCTGAATACTACGCATCTCCACTACCCCCTGCCAGGGAAACCTCTATTCTGAAGTAGTGGGCTTCCTTCTTGTCCATGTTTATATACATTTATTACATTTGCACATATCTACAAACCATATACAGTATTGTTTCATAATATCATACTATATAATATACATCCTTCAGCAAATTACATTTTTCATTCGACGTGACTTCTAATTATCCATATCGATATATGTATCTCTATTTCATCCGATTTTTACTGCTGTATATTACTCAATTTTATGAACATACCACAAGTTATTTATTCATTGTCATATTGGTGGGCATCTGGATCTACTCTTTTCCCTTCAGTCAGACATGTTGAGATTTACTTTCTGTGATTTGTATTATAAAAACAATAGATTTCTACCATCCCAGATTCCAGGGTCTTTCCACACTGACCCTCTGTTTCTATAAGCCCTTGGTCTGAAAGTACACATTTTTTGCCTGCTTTTGAGGCCCTGTGGCAGGGAATGTAGCTAGGACCTGACATTTTAGAACTGACATATAAGAAAGCATGACAACTGCTGAATCTAGGTGGAGGTCACACAGTGTTCAGTGTACTGCCCTACTTACTTTTCTATGTTTAAAATGTTTTAGAATAAAAGTTGGAATATAAAAACCAAACAAGTAAAGAAAAACCAGAAAAGTACAACAGGAAGGCTTGGCTGGCTTTGCCCGTGGGCACAAAGATAATTCCCTGGTTGCAGCTGGTGGTTTCCCACTTCCTTGTTTTCAACCAAATGGGGCCGCATAACTGCAGTCTCCAGAACATTTTTTTTTTCCTGTGAAGTTCAGGAGTTGGCAAAAGCCCCCATCTAAAAGGTGCTCAACTGGTAAAAGAGGCTACTTATGTGAAAGTAATTTTCATTCCAAAATTTTACTTATCTAAATGAAAGCAATTTTCATTCTTTCAGACTCAAATTCTAACAGTGAGGTACAGAGATGACAAAGTATCAAGATAAGGATAATGCTATATATTTAACAGTTACTGAGTACTTAGTATATGTTAGGTTCCATGCTAAGAGAATGGCATGGGTCATCTCATCTACTTGTCACTACTACTCAAGAAGGTAGATACTATGACTAGTATTATTTTACAAATGAGGAAATAGAGGCTTAGACTTTATTCATTGTTCAGG